ATCTATCTATCTATCTATCTATCTATCTATCTATCTATCTATCTATCTAAAACACTATACACGGAAAAGGAAAGAAGAGAAAAAAGAAGAGAGATGTGGAACCCTGCTGCATAGGAAGTCAGCATGGAAGTACAGGTTAAAGCTCTGGACCAGGAAGGGACTGAAATTGATGGGCACGGGGAACCTGGTGCTAAGGCAGCTGAGTAAGATCTAGCAGATTTCGGTGCATTTCTAAAACCCTAAGAGTTTGTTTGTAGACAGGGTCTCACCATGTAGCCAGCCTCACCAGGTACTCACAACATAGCTCAGGCCAGCCTCAAACTCATGGAATCCTCCTGTCTCAGCCTCCCAAGCACTGAGGTTGGAGTCATCTACCCCAGATCAAAGCATTTTCCCCTATTCTTACTTAGTCTCCAGCACTTTTGGCCCTCACTCTGGCTACTTGACTTTTCGCAGTGATGTCACCGCCTCACCATACATACACAGTAAAAAATAAAATCTCATAAAAACATCTCCCAAATGCTACATGAGCAATATAGAAGACTGACTTTACAATCAAATCCCCAATGCTACTGACTTTAAAGGGTTTGTTTGTTTGTTAGTTTTAATGCCTCAAATGAGTATGTAGCATTGGTCTATCCTGTAAAACTGGCTAAATAGACAATATTCCCATGGAATACTATCAAAGAGACTACACAAGATAACACAGCTACTTTCAACTATTTTAACTTATAGTAAAAATACTTTTTTTCAAAAAATAGAAGCTGGGCAGGGCAGTGGTGGCACACACCTTTAATCCCAGCACTCCGGAGGGAAAGGCAGGCAGATTGCTGTGAGTTCGAAGCCAGACTGTTCTACGCTGAGTTCCAGGACAGCCTGGGCTAGCTAGCTATACAAAGAAAGCCAGTCTTGAAAACAAAACAAAGAGTAAAACTCTTAAACATGCTCTTCCACTACTAACAAAGATGGTATCAATGACCAAATGTATCCTCATAAACTGGGAGACTAACCAGACAAGTATAACTGCCACCACTGACTGCCTGCAAAGACAGACTCAACACCAACACCAGTCAGACCCCCAGACATCCTGGCAGACAGAGTTGAGGACCCAGGGAGGCCAATGCTTTTAATACCTGCAGGCTCAAAGTCCTGAGAGAGGGCTACAGAATGTTGGTCCCCTTCCACTTTGGTTTCTGAAACAGGGTTTCTCCAGGTTTTGGAATGACCTTGAACTCACAATTCTTTCACCTCAGGCCTAAAGTGCTGGGCTTTTAGGTCACAGCGCCAGACATGCATCTGAGAAGGTCCCCTGGGTCTCCAGGTGAATGCCGGAACTACACACATGTAAGAGCTGAGAAAATAACTACTTGAGATCAGGTGGGCAGAGGCCCTGTGGGAAAGTCCTTGTGTCCACAACTACAGTGAAAATGAACCTCTACAATACACAGGGTCACCGCACAGTACTCGAAGGCTTGGCCTTGGAGAAGGCCAGGTCCGACACTGCGGGCTGCTCCGCTTCTCCCAACAGAGCTTCACAGGTAAGGACAAAGGTCAGACTACTCAGGTATTGCCTAGGCTCTGAAGTAGGATTCCCAGGGCATGTAAGCGATCGCAAACGTATCTGGCACTCAACAAGAATAAAACCTTCAACGTCTAGTATACGACAACAAAAACAATAAATAGTCATGGAAAAATCAGCAAAACAAACAACGAAGCAAAACAAAACATGAACAGAAAAACTCCACAGAAGCATACTCACAACTAACAAAGAGGGCAGAATCCATAGACAAGGCCACAGACGCTATAGCTGACTGTGAAGAGCAAGATGGTTTGGGCATGTAGCTTGAAACACAAAGAAGCCCTGAAAGGCCCAGGGAAAGACTGTGAATATTCAAAAACCTCTGACTTTTTAGGGAAAGGAAAAAACAAGAAGAAAAACACACTAGGTCAGAACAACAGATAATATAAAAGTAATGAACAGGGAACTTAAAGAAATAGCATTAAAAAGTGAAACAGAAAAGCACAGCAAAACACAGAGTGTCATTCAACCATAGGAAAATGAGAGGCACTCTAATACATACACATTTGAAATCTCCAAAGGAGAAAGAGGAATTTAAGAATATCTGAAGAAATAATGAATCCCGGAAAATACAAATTTAATGCAAACTATTAATCCATTAGCTCAGGGGACTAAATTAGCAAAAACATAAAGAAAAATACACCTGTCTATAATACAATCAAAGTGCCTAATACTAGTCAGAGTCCCTTAAACTAGAGATGACTCATTTTACATATAAACAGGGTACAAAGACATACAGGCTAGCAGACAGGAGAGCAACAACTTTGACGTCCTGACAAAGGTTGGAAGGGGAGCTGGAAAAATGACTCTGTGTTGAAGAGCACTTGCTGTTCTCACCAAAAACTCAGACTGGCCATTCTAACCACAGTCCCAGGGAACTGATGCCCTCTTCTGGACTCTGCCGGCACTGCACGAGTGGGGCACACATCATGCATGGAAATGCTTGGACACATAAATAAACAGAAGTAATTTTTTTAAAGAGAGAAAACAAGCTCAGCCTACCACTCCGCACTCAGCAGCCAAAGGCCAGCATGCAGACCTGTGGTAGAGGAAATAATAAAGTCCTATGAACAAAAGGATGAGGATCTACACCTCCACGAAGGAACAGAGACTATCAGAAATGGCAAATAAGTAAACAAAGGTATTAGCTTAGAAATGTAAAGCACAAATGTAAGTGAGACGAGTACTATAGTGTACACAGATACGCATAACATGCGACACCTCCAAGACAGCAAGAGCATAAAGTGCACTGCTGCAAAGTGCTGCATGAAGAGAGAGTGAGGTCAGTCACAGCTGTGACCAAGACAACCGGATCAAAAACCTGAAAGCAACCGTTACTGTTTAAATAAAAAATGAATAC